CTTAGGACAAACCCCATAAAGATTTCATGTAGAATAAAGTTAGAAGAGGTGATTGTCTTGGCTAACTTCCTGATTCTTGACTGGATTTATTAACATGATCTTGATCTCATAGGCAGTCATGAATAGAGAGAAGTTACGGTTCAAGAACTCAATAAATTAATGTATATGAGCCCAGGCCCACTGTGCCACCCCATGATCCGCTCTGCTCCAGAATGTCTCAAGTGGAATTTTTTTTTTTCAGAAATATAAGTCAAGGTTTTAAGCCTCCAGTAATTCAATCTTAATTTCTCTGTATCAGAGCAGTGTGTATAATTGGCTTACCGTAGATGATAAAGAAATAGACAGAAAGTTTTAAAAGCATGACACTTATCGACCCTTGTGTGATTTGCATTAGTAAGTGCTCACTCATCACTCTTCACCTCCCCTCACATGTTTAGATTGCGTCACAGCTGCACATCACTTGTTGAATTGTGAGCGTTTGTGTGCTGCTGGTTCCTTTTATTGGTAGAGCCCCACTCGGAAGTGAAGAGAACTGCTGTGAAAGATGACGTCAATCATACTTTGTCTTTGGCGACGAGGAGCAGATCAGCAGGAGCTTTTATGGAACCTGAAAATTAGAATTGAAAAAATGCACATGCTTAGATTGGTTCAAATGCCAAAAATGAGTGAAATAATTATTCATGACTCAGATCACATTTGTTTTATTCCAACTTTTTTACAGCATGAAGCCTGCTGAGACAGACGAAATGCTCTCCCTGAACATGTGCTTTCTGCGCTTCCTGTTTGCTCTGTTAACTGTCACAAACTGTGGCAGATAATATACAAATATTACAAATAAACTGCATGCAAGTTTGGTTGGATTTTGTCGTTGATTTTGTTATATTTTATGTTACATTTCCAGTTACATTGCATTGTGACAGCAGCTACAGATGTGATATTACATGGTGTACAAGGATACTTAGGATGAGTTCAGCGCTCTTTAGTGTCTCTTTACCTCTACATCTCAACTTGTAAATAAATGGTTAGGCTTAGACTTATTAGTTTATCAGTCATTAAATGTTGTTAAAATCATAAACATTTACAAATATATTTTAACTCTTTTTACAAAAAATGCATTAAAAAATTGATCTTTTAGTCAGTTATAATTTCTTCCTTCTGTTTTACACAAGCACTGTAAATTTACAGCCCGTTTCTATAAAATTTCAACAATACATTTTAAACCAGAGGAAATCATTAAATTTACAATTTTATACAGATAAGTTATTTTTAAAAATGTATCCAAATCCCTGATATTTTAGTGTAAGCCTATATTTTTCTTGATCCAGTTTGTTGCTGTCCAGAACGATTAAACAAATCACATTAGCAGAAGTCAATTTGATCTCAATTTGAGTTTGCATTTACTTGCTTCTTGATGAAATCCTGTATGAAAACATCAGACTGAAGATGTGTTGGATTAAAATGTGCAGCCTTCTTCCCGTCTGTAGGGAAATGCATTTTGGCATTAAAATGGGCTTAATGAGCTCCTGCAGCGTACCTCTGAGCAGGTATACTCTGTCCATGTTCTCTCCTCCTCCTCCTGTCTGTTGGTCTGTATCTCTGCTCTGTTGCCATGGCACCCCAGCGCCTCACCTCTTCAATCTGTTTTTGTGTTCTCATTAAAGGCTCCGTCACCTGAACCCAAAGAAGAACCAGCCGGAACAGCAGCCGAGCCTGAAACACAGGATGAAGTTTTTGGTAAGACATGAAAGAAATGCCTTGAATTTGAATGAAGTGCTTCTCAACCACTCCACCCAACATCTGCATATCTTTTCTTATTAGCAGAAGCATAGGTTTGATGCAGGGATTAGTCAGATCCCTGCATCAAATGGTATAAATACACTTGACATGTGATAAAATAAAATATTCTGGTATTTTTTCCACCCATCTTTGCTGAAACTTTAGTCATAAGACACAGAGATCAGTTCTGAAAAATGTAGCCACGAAGACAGAGAAGCCTGAAGTCCCAGCTGTAAATCCACACTGACACAGCACAAATTCAATTTGTGATTCGGCTATCATAACTCACTATCTGTATTTCCCCCTCTTTGACAGTAATGACAGCTCCCCTCTCGCTGCTCCAACTCAGAGGCTGCTAATCCAGCAGTGTGCCATTTGTTTGCAGGGGGCAGACTGGCTGCTGAAAAGTTACCTTTCACCAGGGTTGAAGGAAACTAAGTGGGTTTTATAAGCCAAACGGCCCTCGTCATAAGAAAAGCTGAGAGGCTGACCTTCATATCTTGCTCACTTTTCGGTCTTTTCTTTCCATTTTCAAACCTTTTCCTTTTGAGTCACAGTCAGATGAGCTGCTGGGTGGAAAAGGAGAGGGTATGTGATACGTGTCTTTGTAGTACTGTTTCTCAGCAGAGGAGGGCAGAGTCTGGTGAGCAGGAAAAGCACTTATTAGTTTATAATGGAGAGAAATGCTCCACAGATCTAACTGAGTCAGATATTTTGTAAATCCAGAAGAAATAAAAATACAAAATTGCTGAATTCTTTTTAGTAAACTCTGTTTTAAAAGATTCTTTAATGAATGAATTATGTGCTTAAAGCTGAACAGAACAAAAAGTCATTGCTGGTACAACTTTATAATAAATTAAGTGGCATGTACGTACACACACACCAGCACACACACACACACATGCACACACACACACACACACACACATACTAAAATTGCCCAACATTGACTTCCTGTTTGAACGTGTGAATCTGATAATTCAGCTTCTTTACACCTGAAGGAAGTGGCTGTTTTCTTGTTTTGCTCGGAGCTGATAGTCAGGGATGCCACCAGGGACAGGGGGCAGGTGGGGCAATAGCCCCCCCCCCCCACCCCCCAAAAAATAATTTCCTAAGTCTCAAGCGTCTGCTTGCTGTGTGTTTTTAATGCCCTTTTGACTATTCCTCTGGGCAGGAGTGGTGGTGCAGAGGTTAAAGAAGGCAAGACCAAGAGGTCACAAGTTCAAATCCCCTGACTGACACAAAAACTTTGGTGGGGTAGGTGAAACACCCATATCTGCCTCCACCCTTATTTACCCTCTTTGAGCAAAGCCCTCCACACTTCCTGGGTGCTCAGATGTGTGATGGGAAAAACTGAGAACTTACTGGGGTTTAACAGAGTACATAAAATAAAAAAAAAAAATTAGGATTAGTAGATCCTGATGAACATAAAAACAAACTTTTTTTGTTTTTGAGCAATTGAGAATTAAAATGTAAATATATTCTTTATTTAAAATTAAGTAATATTTAATGTCCCAGAATAAGGAAACTGATCTGAAACCAAGGCAGGATCTCAGGATCCATACCCATGCATAAAGTTAGAAGAAAACAAGCTTCAATAAGTTGAGTAGTGACAGAGCTCTTCTCAATAAAAAATATATCAAGTGTAAATAAAAACTAAAAAAGTCCACTGTATATGAAAAGGTGCTTCTCATATTGCTGCATCTGTCAAATAACCTATACATGACAGTGAAATAACAAATCTCTTGAAATTATATTCTCACTTTTGCTTTGGTGTAGAGGTGCCTCTGCCAAATCTAGAGAAACCTATTCTGTTAGGTCGAGTGTTTTATCAAAATACTAATGACACTTGAGTTTATTATCTATATTCTAAGAAGATAAGAGCCTCAGTCCTTAAAAGGTTAGAGGCTGGGAGTGGAGTCAAAAACTCGACTAATAATCTGTAAGAAGAGTTTTTGTCAGTTTGCTGGTCTGCTCTCATCAGGTGTTAACACAAGGCTGAGGAAGAACGATGTTGGCAGTGAAGCAATCATTGCAAATTAACCTAAAAAGGCCATTTCCAAACAAGTTGGACTCCATCGTTCCAAGGTGAGAGAGATTATTCAAGTAAAATCATCACTGAAGACAATATTAATTTAATCATGCGTGAACATCTCAGTTCACTTTGAGGTCAAACTTGACTGAGCTTAGAGAAACGGCTAAAACTGACCAAGTATGGCTTGTTTGAAAGGACTGTAGGAGAAAACATCTTCTTTCTGAGAAAGTATGGCAGCACAACTTACATTTGCAGGGTTGAATCAGGGTTGTTTGTATTAAAGGTGCAGTAGGGAGTTTTGAGAAAACCATGGACTTAACCTGAAAATTTGAACAAGCTCACCTTCAGAAAGAAAACAACCTGCAACCCCCCACCCCCACTCCACTGTGGAGTCTTCCATGAATACACCCTAACCCTGAACAGCAGAGCCACCGATGACAACAGATAAACAGCCGAACGTTCAGAACTCTCAGAATGAGACAGTTTTCCTGCAACGTTAGTTTGTTTCTCCCCCATTAGCACAATTGCAGCACATAGGCTAACTTGAACTTGAATGAGGACATGCACTGTAGGGGGAGGGACGGAGCAGTGCATACACAAAAATGATTGACATTGGTAAAAGACACTCCTCCTGGCTCTGATTGGCTGTTTGTGACAGGGAGCAATGTGACAACATGACAACAGGACCACTGGGAGGAGCCAGAGGAGTTTTATTTTTTCAGATTATCTGTCTCATATCCATCAATTAAGACATGCTCACGGTTTTAAAAAAATTGTAAAATAATACATTATCATAGAAGTTATCTACAGAATCTTTAAAGGGGGTATTATGTAATATACATATTGTGTATATATATATATATATATATAT